CTTTTGTCTCTCCTTAGTCCTTAACGACGCCTTAGATTCCCAACTAGGGGTCCGTTCATTACTCGTCTATTTCATTCTGCTTTTGCCTTTTGGTCTTATCTCGGAAAAGAACAGAAAACATCTAATGTGGATATATTTATTTCTAGGATCTTGTTATCCAGTCCATGTGGACTTGTAAAATGAGGTAAATGATCTTTTAAGTCGATTTGGTTGAGTTTATTGCAAGTGGCAACTGCCCTTGAGTGGCCCAATAGGCGACAACGACCCTATGAAAATGGCCACCAAACTTTCATCCATCAAACTGAAGAGTCCTTCACAAATTGACAAATGGGATTACTTTATTCTATGGTTCCCATCATCCCGTTCTTGTTTTGGTCTAAGTTTAGACTTATAAGAAATTTACCCCACCGACGCTGCAAGCAGGAGTTTTGGTCTTGTTATAGTTAATTCTGTAAAACTTTTATAACATCGAAGGTTAACAGTTAAAAACAATACACTTGATCAGGAGCATACGCAATGCCACGGCAAGGAGGGAGCTTGGATTCTTCTCGTGTGGAACCGGCAATCCCATTGATGATTGCTGGCGTTGTGACCCCAATTGGCAACAGAATCGGAAACGTCTTGCAGATTGTGGCATTGGCTTTGGCCGAAATGCCATCGGTGGTCGCGATGGTCGATACTACGTCGTCACTGATTCCGGCAACGACGACCCTATCAGTCCAAGGCCTGGCACTTTACGACATGCCGTCATCCAAGATGAACCTCTCTGGATTGTGTTCAAAAGAGACATGGTGATACAGCTGAAACAGGAACTGATCATGAACAGTTTCAAGACAATTGATGCTCGTGGAACCAATGTTCACATTGCTAATGGTGCTTGCATCACCATCCAGTTTGTGACTAATGTTATTGTCCATGGTCTAAATATCCATGACTGCAAGCCCACTGGAAACGCCATGGTAAGGAGCTCACCCAATCACGTTGGGTGGAGAACAATGGCTGATGGAGATGCCATTTCCATTTTTGGGTCAAGTCATATTTGGATCGATCATAATTCACTCTCTAACTGTGCTGATGGCCTTGTTGATGCTGTCATGGGATCCACTGCAATTACAATCACCAACAATTACTTCACCCACCACAATGAGGTATCTTCACTTCATCCATCTACTCAGTTCATATTTTTGCCATTTTTCATAGACATTGCTTCACGTTGTGTGTTTAATGAACAGGTAATGTTATTGGGACATAGTGATTCATACGTTAGGGATAAACAAATGCAAGTGACCATTGCTTACAATCACTTTGGAGAAGGACTCATCCAAAGAATGCCAAGGTACAATCATCTTATAATTGATCATGTTTAGCTATTTATGAGCAAGAAAACAATCCGTTTTCATCTTACAAAATAGGATAAATTGGATTATTTAGGTGTAGACACGGATACTTCCATGTGGTGAACAATGATTATACTCACTGGGAGATGTACGCCATTGGGGGCAGTGCAAATCCTACTATCAATAGCCAGGGTAACAGATATGCTGCACCAACCAACCCTTTTGCAAAAGAGGTACTAGATACTAATAATAGTTTAACCTTTTCAAAACCGCTCGAGTTTAGCAGTAATGTAACCTGATATCAGAGCAAGCGTTTTAGTATAATTTATCGATACTAATGGAACTAATCTTCCTCGACATTCTTTAGGTTACTAAGAGGGTTGAGACAGCTGAATCTGAGTGGAAAAACTGGAATTGGAGATCAGAGGGAGACCTATTGATGAATGGTGCCTTTTTCACTCCATCTGGTGCAGGGGCCTCAGCAAGCTATGCTAGAGCCTCTAGTTTGGGAGCTAAATCTTCATCCATGGTTGCTTCCATAACAGCCAACGCCGGTGCACTTAACTGCCGACGAGGTCACGCCTGCTAGCATTCCAATCTCGTCGTCTATCACTTGTATGTGAATTTTTCAAGTATTTACTTACAAACAGCCTTACCCAATATCCATATTCTATCATTTCATATCTTCTTCCAACTCTCTCATATCTAAAAAACAAGTGTACATTTTCTGTCTCGTTGCCGAGACGATTCCTATTCGATGTGTCCCGGTTTGCTGTTTGTTGAGACACTCTGAAATCGCTCAACCTCGGCCTGCTTTAACTTGAAAAAGACACCATTTGGCATTCAGCAAGCAGGTGCTGAAGCGTTGTTCTTGTGTTCATTTATTCCCTTCTTTGGTTCCCCACTTTTGTTCTTCCCAATCCATTCCTCAAACTATCATTGTTGCTCTTTATGTGTAATGTTCTGTCTTCTTGTTCCTATAGGGTATGAATGATTGTTTTTTTTTTTCTTCTTTTTTTAGTTTTAGTTTTAGTTTTTTTCTTTTTTTTTAATTTTATTTTTTACACTTTGTTCTGTTTAGTGATACAAGCTATAGTATGTTTGTCAAACATTGAATTATGAAAGAAAAAGTTTGCTGAAGATGGTAGCAAATATTGTTGATATGCCCTTCTCTATCTTTCAAGTTTCACCTACTTTTTCTCTTTTTTTTTTCATTATTCTTGGAGGGTATAGTTGTAATGTGGGATTGACAAGGGATGTGAATTAAATTCATTTGGTTGAGTTTTAAAACTCAATATTTTTTGTTCACTAATATCTTGAATATAGAGAGTTATAGATAGACAAATTAAATACGTTAGGCCCCATCTAGTCTCATTTTCGTATTCATTTTCTATTTGAAAATACAAAGATTAATTATCTAAGTTACCATAGTAGGGTTAGTTGAGTTAGATTATTTTCCAAATTTGGATCCCGGGTTGGAGCTTTTATTGGCTGGATAAACCCAACTAAATCAAAAATATAGTTTACAACTCAATCATATCTTACTTTTAAGATTTGTTAATGAAGAATAAAAATATTTGATGTTACAATAATTGTAATAGATATATAGATATTAGTGATATGTTGTAAATTATAAATGTTTGATATTTAGGTTTCGTGATATTTGAGTTATTAATGTAATATGTAGTATAATCTTTTTAATGATTGGGTTAGGTTAGATTATGAACTCTTTTCGTACATCTTGTTAAATATCTCGAACAAAAAGAATTTGTGAAAAATAAGATTGTTCATAAGAAACAAACTTACTTTTAACAAGCAAAATGATTATAATATACATACTCGACTTTAAACTTTTGAAATTAACCATGGTTTAACACTAATACTAAATCAAAAGTCTTTCAAGCGCTATAATGTAATAATTCGCGTGTTTGAACGTTAACTGTCAAGGTTATTTACATTAAAAAGGAAAAGGTTAAAGAAGAAAATGAAGTAAGGTGATTTGAACTCAATTAACTTTGTAAAACAAAAGAAAGGTAGCCAATTAAATTAACTTTTAGAGTTAAAGGAAGGGCTTTTAGAACTTTATAAAAGTGATTAATGAAGTTAAGATACTCACTAAGATTGTGTTGCTTTGTAATTGGCAATCACTTTCATTTAGTGAGGCAGTTGATGATTCTTGCATGTGCCTTCCCACATGCTACCAAGTCATCATCACTGCCCTTTTCTCTCCACCTTTATGCCCTTCCCCTACCAATAAAGCTTGCAAATTTTGATACCCCTTTTCAATTTTAAAGTGGTGGGGGAGAAAGAAAGAAAAAAACAGTTAATTTCCATTAAGATAAAAGAGTATTGGTATGTACATTTGATCCCGATATTCAAGAAAATAATATATATCAACTATTACTAAATTATGCTCACTTTGACGAGAAAACCATTAAAATAGAGTTAGAACATGTTTGAAAATGACTTTAAAATGATTTAAAATCACTTTCAAACTAACTATAGTTAGTGTTATGAAGATTTATATGATCATCAAAACATCATTATATTGTGAATTCAATATATTGTTATAAGCCCCTTTCAAAAAAATATTTGATTTTGTCAATGGAAAGTTAAATACACAGTACTAATTAAAAATTAAAAGTACCTTTATAATTAATAAATGCACATTGATTTCCTCTCTTTTGAAAATAGAATGATATCCTGCAGTGGTCAAATAGGAAGTCAAAGTCAGCATCAAATAAAGTATGTATACAAGAAAATTTTCATGCCCTTTGTTACAAGGCATCAAACATTTGACCATATTTGAAGTAAAATGAATTCCAATAGCAATTAATCATTTTAATGACAGAAACATATGAATATGGTAAGAACTATAGAGATTGTAATAAGTAAAATCTTATCCACTTAACAAATATAAGAGAAAAAAGAATTAGAAAATGAACTATTTAATTTTGAAATCATGTTAGGCAAAGGAGGAAAAGGATAGATGCTATAATGAATGAACAAATAATGTTAGGCAACTTAATACCTAAAACTTTGAAGTGAAAGCGCACTTTCTGTTAATGAGTTTGAAGGAAGTATTCCAAAGTGTTATTATTCATTCCAAGAACTAAATTCAGTTGATGACTGACTATTCTACAACACATTGGTAGGCTTATGCTCCACTTTACAACTGATAATATACTGTTCAAAGAGCACCATAGAATTAGAATCAAAGAGAGCAACCTCCCACCCCACCTTACATTCACATTCTAGTGCCACATTCACTCACATGCCTTCCAACCCTTTTGCTTTCTTTCATTCTTTCCCCCTTTTCTCCCCTACTAACAGGTAGATATTGCCTAATAACAGGTAGGAATTGGGGAAAGAATTTTAAGTTGTATTAAGAAAGGCCTCTAACGTCTTTAACGTTAGAATACTTATAAGGTTGTTACATTATAAGAATGAAATTCTAACTTTTACTGTAACTGCTTAAACCAACCGCTAGCAGATATTGTCTGTTTTGGCCCGTTAAGTATCGCCGTTAGTCTCACGATTCTAAAATGCGTATGCTGGGAGAGGTTTCCACACCCTTATAAGGAATGTTTTGTTCCCTTCTCTAACCGATATGGGATCTCACAATCCACCCCTTTGGGGACCCAACGTCTTTGCTGTCTGGCTTTGATATCATTTGTAACAGCTCAAGTCTAGCACTAGCAGATATTGTCCACTTCGGCCCATTACATTTTGCTATTAGCCTTCAGTTTTAAAACACATATATAAGGGAGAAGTTTCCACACTCTTATAAGGAATGTTTCGTTCCCCTCTACAATCGAGGTGGAATCTCACATTCACCAAAGTCCTACCCACAAGGATCAAATTTATAATTTAACGAAGAATTTAAGATTTGAGGGAAAAAAAAAAGGTACAACTGATTAATATGTATGGAATATTTCTTATTGCATAACATAAGAACTAAATTGAAATTCAGGTAAAACAAGGGTACTAACAGTCTACAATCTAAATAAAGCTAACTATGTGCATCTAACATTATATTTTATTAAGATAGACATGACAACTTTAAATAAATAAGACTTTTCAAAACCTAACATGATATAACACGAGACAACTTAATAATCATATAACTATTATTTTCACTTAAATAATTGAGGAAAGAATTTAAATGACAGCTATGTCGTAGTCTTAACAGATGGCATTTGGCAAATGGGGTCTCCAAATGAACAGATCAGAAAATGATATTAAAAAACAACAGTGGAGAGTATTAATTTGTAGCGTTGGAGGATGAAAAAACAAATAGGGAAGCATGTGAGTTGGGCCCATTGGATACTACTTGGTTGTAGGGACTGTAAATAGAAATCTGTATTATAATGGACCCATTTCCATTTCTGGGCCCAAAATTTCCCCAATGGATATGTACAAGGAGGCGCAATCAGAAGGATGAATTTTCACTTTCAGTTGCAAATGCAACTCCTCAGCCTCAGACATGAACTTTAAAGATGTTGAGTTGTGGCTTCCCACCCCATCCTAACCTCTTTTCATTTCTTATTCATTGTATTGACATTTGAAAGCAATATGTTTTATGACAATTGTTGATGTTATTTTCTTTTCCTTCTTATCCATCTTCTAATCTTTCATTCGTGTCTAAGTAACAAATCCTGTTGTAATTTGGAATGACAACTATTCGCATCTATCACATCGCATCTAACATAGTGTGGTTTCTGACTTGGAATTTTAAAGAGTTTTAGTGTGAAATCTCACCTCGGTTGAAGAGGGGAATGAAGCATGTTTTATTAGAATGTGAAAACCTCACCCTAGTAAACGCGTTTTAAAAACTTTGAGGGGAAGCTCGAAAGGGAAACCCCAAAGAGGACAATATCTGCTAGCAGTGAGCTTGAGCCATTACAAATGGTATCAGAGCTAGACACTAGGTGGTGTGCTAGAGAGGACGTTGAGCCCCGAAGGCGGGTGGATTGTGAGATCCCACATTGATTGGAAAGAGGAATGAGTACCAGCGAGGACGCTGGCCCCGAAAGAGGGTGGAGTGTGAGATCCCACATCAGTTGGAGAGGGGAACGAAGCATTTTTTATGAGGGTGTGGAAACCTCTCCCTAGCAGATGCGTTTTAAAAACCTTTAGGGGAAGCTCGAAAGGGAAAACCTAAAGAGGACAATTCCGGCTGGCGGAAGACTTTGATTGTTACAATTAAAATCAAACTGACTAGCGTAGAAAATTCTAGTTATCAGCTTTGCTGCAAAAAGCTTGGTCTGTTATACTCATGACAGGACGAGATAGAGAGAACCTTTAGTCTTCGAAATGGTATGTAGATTTCACCAGCGCAAGAGCGCAAGAGAAATGAGATATCTTGTTATTATCTTCCTTGTGCATTTCGGCATACCTACCAAATAAAGTGCAATCAACAGAAATATGTTAGAACTTTTATTTATAACTTGATCGAATTTGTTGTAGTGTGGTTCTACAGTGAGTCAGTAAGCTTACGTTTGGTAATTAACCATTTTGTTGAAAGATTGGATTCCAACCAAAATCATAAGGGCCCCTGGGAAGAAGGAAGAACAATTTTTCCCTAATAGATCAAATAATGAGGACAACTTTTTAGTGCAACATAGAAAGAATCTGGAGAACTCATTTTCATAGCGTCATTTTGAGAACAGCAAAATTTTCTGAGATCATTAATGAGTAAGAAAGTAGACAAATATGCATTAGCAAAGATATGGAATAAGGAATAGCACACTGTCTAACCACTGATATTCTAATACCCGTGATTAATCTGTAGCTTCCTGTGTTAGACAAAAAAAATTATAGGTTGCTTCATTGTCGATCATCATCAACTTCTTGACTGCCAATACACCCTTGGGATTGTCTGTGGTACCATTTACACGACCACTGAATTTAAAGTGATATCAACCAATTGAATAGCTTCTTCTTCTCCTTCTGGCCTTGGTTGTACTAACTTCTCCTTCATCAGAGTCCATTTGTTATTAGTCTCTTATAAAAAAGAACTTGTGCCTCATCAAGTACCTAGCTGCAATTATCAGTCATTACACTAACACCCAAAATTATTCCCAATCCCCAGACTTGTATGTATGTCCCTACAACCAGAATTTACACTGAACTCACAGTTAGACCCTTCAGAAGCATAATCTCACTAAGTTGGGGACTCTAAGGATGGTCACTGCATTGCTATCATAAAAAAAAAAATGGCATTTCTAGCCTTCGCACTTGCACTTCAACACGAATGTTTCCTTCCTTTTGCCTTAACTACGCTCCTCTTCGGTATTATACTTGATCAAGTTTTGTTCTCTTAACCAAACTAACTGGCATAGATATACTCAATAGTCAGCTGCAATATAGAATTCACTGCCTCATAATAGTGTCAAGTTTTTCAACATGGGAAATGAAAACTTATATTTCATCCTCATTGACAATGATTCTTAGTGAAAGCTTCTGATATTAAATTTCTCTTTCTCCTCTCCTCTTCCTTTTTAAGGCAAATGCTACCGGTCGTAGGAGAAAGAGCGCAATTTCAACACTTTATTTGAAGATCTTACGTATTTAAACTTCTATAAGCCAAAGACCAGAGGAACAATTTGACTTTATTTGAGATTTGAAAATTGTAAATTGACTTGGAAGAAAAATTACCACCTTTCTCAAGCGACTAGTAGGCCTTGTTCACCATACCATACCCAAGCAGACAACATCCAACAACTGAATTGAACTCGCCCCACTTTCCAACTCCCAGTCTAAGAGCCCGCTTCTTTGGCCAAAGTTCCAAGTCCCAATCCCTCATTCGCTCATTCCAGCACTCAGCAGTTGTAACTTTTTGTTTCATAGAAATACCATAAATGTCTGGAAAAGTAGCCTCAGGGTGTTTTCCCTAATCCACCTATCTTTCCAAAACTTAGACTCCTCCCACTACGAGCTTCAAAATCCAAAAAAAAAAAAAAAAAAAAAAA